ACACAATACTATGTTAAAGGAATTAAACATCCTTCAATCAAAGGGAAGAATAAACTTAATATTTAATATGCAAGCTCAATTCTTTTTACAAGTTATGTTAGGATTACATTACATATTTCAGTCACCTTGTGAAACTTTAAATGGTAGCATGAGATATCAGTTCAATGGTTTCCCAAACTGTTTTCATTCTTTGTACAATCTTCTTTATTATCATTCACTGTGTGCTTGGATTTATGTCAACCAGGCATAAATACTTGAGTCTCTGGGGTATTTTTTTCTCAGAATGATAATTGCTATTTTTACGAGTGGTAAAGCCAAAAGACTGCAATTGCATTGTGAACAAGGAACTTTAATGTTCTCAAGATGGAAAAATAACCTTACTGACGATTAGCTTTCACCGCTGCTCAATCGAAAAAATGTAAGTGCACTGTGTGTATCACTGAAGTCTTCTAAAAAGGCAAGGGTGAAAACAGTTGAAAGTAATCTTTAGAAAAATTTACCAACATTCAGTAAAACTTGTTCAGTAAAGCTGTTGCATGGTTTGGCCTCACTCAGCAGGAAGAGATAATTCAAATGCCACTAGTCAACTTGAAGAGAGTTTTGGGACATGGGTTAGAAACCAACTGTGTAGTAAAAACAACTCTTCCAGCTTTAGTTCCCATTAATCTATTGCTGCAGGTGTCCCTGTTCACTGCAGGAGAGTTGGACTAGAAGACCTTTAAGGGTCCCATCCAACTCAAACCATTCCATGAATCCCTAAGAGAGAATGGATTCATCTTTGCTAGTGGCAATCAGCTGCTTGCCACAGATTTCCTGCCACTTTTCAATTAAATGCTATCAATTTAAACTCTTGAACAGAGAAGCTTTTATTCCCTCTTCCCCAGCAATTAATTTTTAATGCTAACCAAATTGCAACAAGCAGAACTGAGGAGACAATGGAGGTGGTAAGGCCCTCTGAGGCTCACATATTCAATGCATGTCCTCCTCAATAGTGCAAGGGAAGTTGCAACAAATACTGTGTAGGCAAAGCTGACTCTGTTCTGAAGTTAAAAGACCAATTTAAAAAAAAAAATAAAAAGGGAATCAGTATGGGCCAAATTAACTACAGTATAAATGACTGTACCAGAGAATCTTTACTTGCATTAACAATCCAATTGAATTCTGCAAGAAATACATCTGTAGTTTGAAAATGATGAGAGCTTCTTACAATGAAACCATTACGTTTTAAATGATTTCTCTGGTCAAGCTCAAAATACATCGATAACATATTTCTTTCAGCACTATTTCAGCTTTTCTATCTGCCTGATCATTCTTTCATGTCATCTAGCCTCCCACATCGTAGTGTTAGCAAGTTACATTGCACTTACAGCTCCTGATGCATTCTGAGGGAATAGCTGAGACTGAGCAAACAGGCCCCTTCACTAGTGCTAAACCATTCTGCTGTGGGTGCTGAGCATGAGAAAAATGAGTCATTTGCTCTTAATCTATCATGCGAAAAGGATTTGATCACTTTTGCTTTATAGTAAATAGAATGAGCTAAAATTATGGTTAGACACCAACAATCATTTCCATTTCACAGAGTAAGCCATAATGAAAGTAACTTGAATTACCTTCAGCTGCCGAATGCAAGGCTTCATAGAGTCCGGACACATGGTCACACCTCTGCCAAGCCAACCAGAGTTACTGCTGAGATACATGCCTCACAGTGAGAAAAGTGAAGAAGAAAGGTAAATATAGAAGCGAAGGAAGTGATGCTCAGTGATCCACTGCCATATCTGTGCTTCGCTTAAACCAAGCCTCAGATTTCACCAAAGTAACTGATTTTGTGGACCAAAGACTCCATCATTAAAATCCAACTCAGTTTTCTTCAATAGCATTTTATTTCAAAATATATTAAACATTTTGTGCTTACAAAGGACTGCAGTGCGAACACAATATTAAGTTAAAAGCTTCTTATACCCACTACAAAAAAAAAGAAAACCCTTTATTAGGAAGAGGACTGGTGCATACAATTAAAATTAATGAAATACCTCTGCAGTCTATACAAGTACTTCTCAACCTTAAATCACATTCTGTGTTCCGCCACCAATGGACACAGCAATTATTTTTCCAATACTATACATGCAAAAACAGGCACTGTACCAAAACCAACTATGGTAACATTAGTCACAAACATAGTTCCATTCTGAAATTGTACCATGTGTAGATTTACAGACAAATTTGAGTCAACAGATAGAAGTTATTGCTCCAAATCCACCCAAGTTCTGGTTAGAAATGCACACATCAGAACAACCTGTGCAACAGACTTTCTTCTAGACTGCAGCAGGATCTAGCCAGTCTTCGCACACAATGTCACAAGTTTCTTTGGATTTGGTTTGGTGAAATTTACCAAAGAGAAAAAACAAAACTTCCCTACTCTTCTGACCAAAACATAAACACTAGTTAACTAATGTATAGGTAAGAATCCTGTATTAGTAAAGAAAGCTTATTTCCAGCCATCACTGAAACATAGTCTTTATTTTTAAAGGTAACAATCTGAACAACTTGTCTGCTTGCAGAATATACCAATGATGATAGTGGAAACTGAGAACATTGAACTATCCAGCCAGTTACAAACAACATGAAGTTGTTTTTTTACTGATACTTCCCCACAAAGCATCAGTCTGAGGCTACAACTGGCAGAACGGAAGCCAAAAATTTGGATGATGTTTTTCCAAAAGCATGGTCTGGATGACAGTGATTTAATGAAATTTCATTCTGCGACTACTTTTTAGCTTTGTGACGCCTCTTATACTTAATCCACAACAAACCATGAGAAGTGACTATGACTTAAGGTTCTCATTCAAAGTCAAGAAGCAAAAAGAGGAAAATAAATCAGTATTTTTATTCTAAAATCGTGATGCTGAAAATCTTTCAGATATGTATGTGGATGCCTGAGCTCAAGCTGCATTTACTAGCTAGCAAATGCATCCTGCTGCAAGCAAATACGCCCTGCTTCTGACTCAAACCTAGTTCTGGAATTGCTACATAATTCTATATTCAAAAAACAACCTCTAATTCAATAAAACACCAATTATGTTCGTTTGGGCTCATCCATACGCAGGGCACAATAACGATATTTTCACACAGAGGGTGGTGACGCACTGGAACAGGTTGTCCAAGGAGGTTGTGGATGCCCCATCCCTGGAGGCATTCAAGACCAGGCTGGATGTGGCTCTGGGCAGCCTGGTCTGGTGGTTGGCAACCCTGCACATAGCAGGGGGTTGAAACTCAATGATCATTGTGGTCCTTTAAAACCCAGGCCATTCTAAGATTCTATTATGCACTTACTTGCCAACTAGCTATTCCTTCCTGAATGGGACATGCTATTTCAGTATGGATATGCAAAGCATGCCCTTCAGGGAATCTACCCCAAAACAGCACATGTGCAAATTCTTCCAGGACCAGTGATCTCTTAGCAATGGCTTACCAGATGGAAGAGCAGTCTTTCCCAACTTCACATCAACTGCAGCAAAACAGTTCTAGTCATCCCACCAGCATCTGCTTGGCTCCCCTCCAACTTCCTTTAAAGTAAACATTAATTCTATAAAACGGTACTTGTTTTCACTACATACAGGCACTGTTCTATTCTCAGGTATCTTTAAAAAGACCCCTCTCCTCCTCCCTCTCCCCACTTAAAAAAAAGAAAATTTCAGTTGCAGTCTGAAGATGAGAAAGATTGCTCATATTTGTATATATTTATATACACCATTATATATTTTCAAACCCACACGGAATCCCTGAATACGATCAACACTTCTGTCACTGCTTCTGGTTTCAAAATATCAAGCTCATTTTCCAAATTCCAATTTATTTTTTTTTTTTTTAATTTCCAATTTTCGCACTTAAAAGCTTTTTGGAAATTTTGATCATAAAGCACTAAGGGTTTTTAATAAAAAGGACAGATAAATAGCAACAGGTTAAGGATCAAACCTCCATGAGGTTTGTTATTAGGTAAATTTAGTTTTGTAGTAGTGAAAACTAGAAATAAGAAGGGAATTGACTTGCCAAAGCATGCTTCTCCAAAAAGTGTAAGACATAAATAGTAATAAAACCCCTGAAATACAAGCCCAGATGGAACTTAGAAAGATGATCTGTGCATATGGTTAAGAGACACCAGGTTTCAATGAACAGTACTTAATTGGAAAACTAATCTTTCCATGCCAAGTTGCAAACTGCAAGGAAAACAACTGCATTTTTAGAATGCCTCCTCATTATGAAATCTAATGAACGCTAACTCAAATTCCAACAGTTTTCAGCACCTTCTGAAAAAAGCTTGGCTGTTTCCAGAAGTGATTTACATAAAGGCAGCACTACATATATTGAGAAAATTAAGCTGATACAATAGAAACACAATGTCTGAACAAAAGCAGTTGTGGAAGCACCTTCTACCACTGATGCAAAGCCATAGAGTCTCTATCGAATGCTATTTCCCTATCCTTTGTATGGGTCCACAGGGAAGGCAACACTGTACAGAATTCTGCCACTAGTATTCAGCATTAGTAATTTAGTTCTGCTACTGCCTTTACAGGGGTACTGGGCTTTTGTATACTCAGGCTTTCTGAAAAACAATGAACATTACAGCCAAACACCTATTTCAGAAGTTATAGATACCCACTATGTTTAATACTGGAAACAGCACCCAAATTTCCATTCACAATCAATGCTCTTTTTTGTGTTTTATTCTGATTTTGGATTTCTTAATTCAGTAACCACTGATGGAATACATGAAAGTACATCTTTCTCTGCAAAGTCTTGAAACAAATCCATACATTTCTTGAAATCAGGCAAGGTACCTTAGTTGAAATAAGCTTGTATACTGCTGTGTACACAAAGATCAGACTTATCTCAATTATTAGACAGATGGGCATAAATTTAATTTCTAAAAAGGGTATATTGTATGTATGTACTGCATATTGTATGACTATAATAATAAACTTCGTTTTTGGTGTTTGGTTTTGTTTTTTTTTTTAAGTAGTGTTTCAAAATAAGCCATTACTGCTCCCAGCTGGTCACAGTGCACAGCAATCAGTGTACAGTGCTGAAAGTCACTGCCTTGTAGTACAGCTGGCAAAATGAGTGTGTGCCAGATTCTCATCCTTTGCAACTTGCTGTATCGTGCTCAATTAAGCCAGTACCTACAGTGACCTGAAGCTAACAAGCTGGGCTGTAAATGGGCACACATGAACTTCTGCAAGTGCTGCTGCAGTACAGTAATGTTCAACTAAGGTAAAGGAAGGAGAGAAAGGGCTAACTTCGGCTCTGTGCAAAAACAGTTAAGCAATTATCACTAGCCCCTTGACACTACGCTTACTTGCAATGAGCCTGATTAGCTAGCAAAGAATGATAACAAACATTATCAGTGTACTCTGCAATACAATGACACAGCATCACCCTGGTTTATTACTACAAGCATTCCCTTCTGAACCCTAAATCACCGTCTTTGTTCTAAATTGAATATTAAGTATACCAAATACACATAAATACCCACCCCTGGAATGGCTGCTTACAGCAAAGCTAAAGACCATCAACTTTTCACCTACAAGGCATTAAGAAAGAGACTGTCACTGCTAAAGTATGCTTTTTAATATACATATATATATATATATATATACACATATATATATATTTAAATATGTCAGAATTCAGTGAATATTTCATATCCTAAGAAGGTCTCATTGGAGATTTGTTTTACCATTTTCTTTTCTTTTTGGAAGCATACCATTGCTGTATCACCAAGCCACACAACTTATTTCTAAATCAGACACAGCACGTAACATGAGGCCCTTAAGCTATATTACCTGAAAAAGACTGTACTACAGAAAGTTCTCCTTGGCAAGTCCTTGTTGAATTTGAAACAGGAAGCATCAAGTATGAGGATTCATTTCAAAGGAGGACAAGCTAACAGACTATGTGAGAATTTAATCTTCCCTACAAAATGATTTCTCTTCAAACTGGGAAAGGAACATTTCAAAACTGCAATGTACATTCTTAGCTGATTTCACTAATTTACCATTACTGAAGATAACAAATACAGTTCTAATCTTTGTAGTAGAGACCCTTCTTTGATCACACAAATGGGGAGGGAGGAGAGGAAAACTTAAAAACAAGCAAACAAAAGATTGCCTTATGACAACTCTCTAAAATGACTATGTTGCCTTAGGATTAGAAAAGATTGTCTCAGAAATAACTGGGATAAAAAATGTTGGCAATTTAAATGTCTTTACCAGTGAGCAAAGAGAAGCAACAGAAAACCAGAAATACATTAAGTACGCATCTTTCTTGCTAGTAATCTTTAAATGCTGACTAGATGAAGTTAGAGTGTGAAGAAAGTATTTCAGTGCAAAATTCTGTACAAGAACAACAAGAATAAAGAAGTTTCCCAGGTATCATGGTGAGTCTCATTTAAATTGGTTAGCATGCTGCAGGAATATTTAGGGGCAGCCTCAGGTTGTCATTCTCCTCCTTACCCAGCAACAATTACAAAGATGGGTCTTATTAAAGATGAAGTGATCCACAAACCCAAGGAAATTAAAACATGGGATAGTTACATAATTCAAGCAATACACTCTCTATGTTAAGTTAGTTGGAATTGCTGTGTAGATCTCTCAGAATCTCAAATATTAAACTCAAATATTAAATAGGATGCTTCCATACTTCAAAGAACCACCAAACCATCAGTCAAACCACTAAATCAAGCTTGAGCCTGTCCTCCAAACAATACCTGGAAGTCTGCAAGCCCCAGACCAGCACATGTGCAACCCTACATTTTGACATAACATTTAATTACTAAAACCACAGTAGCTATGTTAGAGAATTATGTTGTTTATCAACAGTTGCATTATGGTAAACAGTAAATGCAAGGCATACCTGTATTCTGCATAAACCTTGTCAATCAAACTGAATTAAATTCAAGATAAGTTACTAGAAACTGAAAGGTGGTTCTTTGGTTAAGCACGTGCAACTGCTACTTTGTATGAAGGGCCTCAGTGTATTTGTGAAAGCTTTGACCAAAAAAACACTTTGTCTTTGCAGAAGTATAAAGATCCATTGTGTCAAAATATTTCAACCAACAATACAAAAGGCCTTAAACGTCACCAAACTTGCAGTTTCAGCAGAATTACATATGAAAGAAAAACACTGAAGTAGTTTGTTTCTGTGATCGAGGCAATATACCATTTCAAGAATTCTGCATAAATCACTAAGATATTTGGCCAGAGGCTTACAAGGAGAAAAACAAAAGCAGTAACAAAAAAACCCAACTCTACAATATAACAAAATCTCTACTCTTTCCCTTTCCTCTTTTGAAATAAACTTATACGTGTTTGAAAAGTAAATGCTACTTGGTCACAGCATTTGAAAACTGACATAAAACAATCCCACTCAAGGTCTTTTTACTATTGGAAGAAGATGTGATAACTGTACGTTACCTTAGGTTTAAAGTATTTAAGGCCTTTAATTAAAGTTAGTTGATACTATGACTCTGCTAGACAGTGAAGAGACATCAGAACATCACCAGATTTGACCAGAAATAAGGGCAAGATTTAAACTACTTTAACAAGTCCTATTTCTAAACAACAACAATTCACATTTCTCAATTCGTTCATCTACTAATTTCAGGAAGATACTAGAAATACTTGTCTTCAACAATACTAAATTTCAGTGCTCATAAAGAGATAATATTTATTTGTTCTTATGAGTTAGAGATGATGGTCAAAACCTCTAAAGAAATACTTCAACGAGCAGCAAACAATTGTATTCAATCTTCATTTAACAATGAGTGGTTTACATCTCTGTTGCCATCAGATTAACAGAGAATAAATATTTTGGACTTAGCTTTCTTTAAAAATACTACAAATTAATAACACAAATAACCCAATAAATAAAAGCCAAGTAAGTCATTTCAGCAGATAACAACTCCAGTGGATATATCTCTCCACTTAGCCATTCTTTTTAAGAAGACAGAAGGTCTACAAAGGCGGCTGTGGAACTGTTTGCTAGTATGCAAAGCCATGGGAAGTTGACATTCTCTCTCAAAGAGGCAAAGTGCACAGTAATGTAAGGCCAGCAGATGTTCGAGGAGTGGTGTCTCCTAACACTCAAACTATGCATCCCTGTGAACTGCCCCCAGCAGAGCAACAGAGGGGCAAAAGGCCATGGCTGTTGGGAGCTCAAGAAAGACCAAGTATGATTCTCTCATCTTGAACAGGTGCAGCATAGCTCTTTCATCATTCAGCAGCCATTTTTGTCTCCTCGGGACTTTCTCTAGCTGACCTGCAAAAAACCAAAAGGACTCAAATCAGTTGAGTGACTTCAAATGTCTCATTCCCTACGAATTAAACAGGAAAAAACAGATGTAAAATTCTGTGTGTATTGCCAGAAGCTCTATGTATAGTGTATGTGGAAAGTCTAGAAACGTAACATCCACAAGTCAGAGACTACAGGCGGGTTCATTAGGGTTTTTTTCCTAAATTACCCATATGAAAGATGACAACATTATTCATGTGAATGAAGAAAAGGATTATTGTTCACAAGCATATAATCTCTAAGATATATGTACAATGAGCTAACCTATGTAATTAAACAAGACAGTAGAGACATTAAAATGCTTACTGTCATTAATAATTTTACAACATGATTTCCAGCTCTAATTAAATATTCAATTAGGAATTTATTCATCCCATCCATTAACTGTTCAGTTGAAAAATACATTTCTATATTCCACATTTGGTAACTTCAGTAAAGAGATTTATCAAGACCATACTTTTAATGGAATAATGGCATGCTTCGTAGTATTGTACAGTCACACAAACTGCAGTATCTGCAGACAGGTCTCTTTTTCAGACCAAAAAACACTATCTGGTATCCATGAATAATAGTTATAAACAGGAAATAGGGATGGTCAGTTATCTTCTAGCACAAAGACAGCACATGTAATATAAGATACAAAGCTATTATTCATGAATTCTCTAAAGAGACAGCTTCTGAAGCTGAGAGATATTAAACAAACATTTCACGTTTACTTATTTTACAGTAAATATTTTTCTAGAATAAAAGCTGAATATTCTCGGAATATTTCCATACATGTGTAGGCGTGCAGATGCACAAATACACGCAAACTCATGCTTGCATTCCCTACACCTATGTGGGTACACACTGATCCATTTGAAAACTGCAATACGTAACGTAAGGCATTCAACGCTTACCGGTAAATCTGTAGTGGACATGCTGCTTGTGATGGAGTGGGCACTGAATTTGTTGGACTAACCAACATGGCACTATATATGTTGGAGGCAACCACAAGTATACAAAGTAGAATTGGTCCTATGATGGCTCCTTCCAGTCCCAGGTAATATGCTCCGCCAGCTACTGCAAGACCTGTCAGGTAAGGATGACCACCTCTGGAATTACAGCACAAGCAGAATAAAGTTAAAACAAGAACAACGAACAACAATACTACCGATTGCAGATCTGAAATGCAGATTAATCACAGTTTCATTAAGCTTATAAAGCGATCTATTTATAGATACCCATATTCACACTAAACTGCTGTTTGAATGACTGCATAAATGCTCTAAGCTGCATTTTGTATAACAATCGCACAACATATCAAACAATATTTTCATTAGTTCCACTCCACCTCCCGTGGGCAGACACCTTCCACTACTAGATAAGGCTACCCCAGGCACCATCCAGTCTGACTGTGAACACCTTCAGGGATCTGAAGGAGTTAACACCAAAAATATTTCCATTCTGAAAATGGAAAGATGATTCCTTGTGAAGACTATTCATGCTTCACGGTCAAGAACTCTTACATTTCAAGACAGCTAGCAGTATTTACTATGAGCATTCCTCAGCAGAGACATTAATTTATACAATGATCAGAATATTTAGTCTTTTGAACAAAAGGCAGGATACATCATCTTTTACAAATCGTAGAATGGTTTGGGTTGGAAGGGACATTAAAGATCATCTGTTTCTTGTAGTTGCCATCCACAAGATCAGGCACTGGACCTGGTTGCCCAGGGCCTCACCCAGCCTGGCCTTAAACATCTCCAGGATGGGGCATTCACAGCTTCTCTGGTCAACATGTTCCAGCACCTCACCAATCTCTGAGTGAAAAATTTTCCCCAAATATCAAATCTGTATTTTCCCTCTCTTAGTGTAAAACCATCCCCTCTTGTCCTATTTGTCCTATTTGTCAAAAGTCAGTCTCCCACCTATTTATATGCTCCCTCCAATTACCGAAAGGCCACAATTTAGTCACCCAGAGCCTTTTCTTGTCAGACTGACAAAGCCCTCTCAGCCTTTTTTTTCATAGGAGATGTGTTCCAGCCCTTTGATCATCTTCGTAGTCCTCCTTTGGACCCTCTCTAATAGTTCCAGATCCTTCCTGTACTGGGGGTCCCAGACCTGGACAGAATCCTCCACATGGGGCTTCATGAGGGCAGAGCAGGGCGAGACAATCACCTCCCTCACCCTGCTGATCATGCCTCTTTTGATGTAGCCCAGGGTACTGCTGGCCTTGAAAGCTGCAAGAGCAAATTGCTGGCTCATGTCCAGCTTTTTGTCCATCAGAACCCCCATGTCCCACAGGGTTGCTCTCAGTGAGTTCTTCTCAATTCTGTACACATATCCAGGACTGTCCTGACTCAAGTGCAACACCTTGCACTTGGCCTTGTTGAACCTCATTGGTTCATTCCGACCTGCTTCTCAAGCTGGTTCAGGTCCCTTTGGATGGCATCCCTTTCGTCATATCAACTGCACCACTCAGATATCAAGGAAGGCAAATCAGTCTACCTCATAGAGTACCTGTTTTAGGAAAGCATCAGAACAGGCATCTCCAAGACCCAAATGAAGTAGAAGAAGTAAAAGGTACAAGGTCAAGCAAAGGTACAAGGACCACCTGAACTCTACTCATGTAAGAGAAACCTGAAATTGCACAGGACTCCTAGCAAATCAAGCTCATTGTTGCCTGCAAACAGCAAAATTCAAAGCATTCATGTTTATGGAATTATATTAGAAAGCCTACAGTTGAAACCGAGCACCCAATTTTCAGAAAGTTGCTCTAAATTTTGAGTGTAATGCAATGAAAACACTAACCAGTCAGTTTAGAACTGAACAGTTTCTGCCAGGTTTCTAACACCATCTTGATTTCTACCCAGCTCTCACATTAGCAGTCCTAATGGGCATTATAACTGTGCGCAGGATATGATCATGAAATCATAGAATCTGAACTGGGAGGGACCTCTAAAGGTCATCTAGTCCAATTCCCCTGCAAGGAACAGGGACACATACAGCTAGATCAGGTTGCTCAGAGCTCTGTCCAGCCTGACCTTGCATGTCTCCAAGGACTAGGCATCCACTCCTCCCTGGAAAACTTGTTCTAGTGCTTCACTATCCTTACTGTAAAAAACTTCTTCCTTATATCCAGTCTAAATCTCCCCCGTTTTAATCTGAAAGCATTTCCCATCCTCCTATCACAACAGATCCTGCTAGAGAGTCTACCCTCTTCTTTCTTATAGCTCTCCTTTAGATACTGAAAGGCCACTATCAGGTCTTAGAAAGTGACTTACTACATCATAAACACCTATTAATCATGTCTTACTTGGATCAAATTTAACATACTGGAAGGGTCAAGTAGATCACTTTTTGAGAAGACAGACTCGACCATAACATCTTATACTTCTCTAGCAGAAGACACACAACTAATTTATAAACCTTTAAAAACTTAGAATATTTTTTTCAAACACTTGCATCACTTCCAAGTTTTTTTCTGGCTAGTTTGCCAATTCAGACCACATATCACCTGATGAAGTAGGACAGCAATATATATTTAATACATTTGGAAAACCTTCCATAATGTAATTATAGTGATTTCAAATAGAATTAACCCAATTTGCAAGACAGCAGATTTATGTAATGGTAAAAATACAATTTTTCTCCACTGTTAGAAAATCTATTCTTGCCACATACATTTTCTGAATGGTGAACAGTGCCTGCAACCCTACAGTCAAAAATTTATTTCAATAAGTAGAAGAATTATTGGCTTGTTAAATAGCTATTGGCCTTAAATTTATCTGTGATTTGTTGTTGAAAACAAATGTAATTTGATTATACTTCACCTGTTAGCTTTCACTTCTGGAAAATAACTATTGCTACAGCCTATGAAAGATTCTTAATATTGATCTCACTATCATGAGGTTCTCTGTTTAGTTTAACTATAGTTAAAGTTATGACACACACACACACAAAAAATCCAACTTAATGCTGAACTTAAACATTTAATGTTCTTATTCTACATTAATTTACTACAATACAAATTAACACAAATGTGTTCCAGCACATAACCGTATCTGGAGCATGAATTACAGCGAAGACTGATTGAGCACTCACAGTCTGTCATTCAAAGATCTCAATTCAAATAGTTTACTACTAGTCTAGCTTCTGATGACCAAGACTGAAGCAGTGACTAGGAAGAGCACATTTTTTAATTTATATTGAACATGGTTGTGAACACATCTTGCACATGTGAACTCTGACAGTTCACATCTTTGTCAGCTCTGCAGAACTCCAACATTTTCTAATTTGAATTCCATGAAGGGATTCATGAGGTATTTCAGCAGCATTATGTGTCAGTTGATGTCTCAGCAGCATTTCTAGTACTCTAGATATAACTGCAGACGTTGGCTCTGTCTCCATAATTTGGAGTTAGTTTTTCTTTATTCAAAGAAGAAATCAGGAAGCATTTCAAGCCAATTCATGCAGCCAGACACCTAGCAAGATTTTTCCAGAAATCTTCTGTGTTCAACTCTCAAAACAGGAAAGCAAAACTGACTCTGTCTCACTATAAGCTTCTCCCTGCATTCACATTTTCAGCTGTCTCAATATATTTAAAGATCAATTGATAATGAACAGATTTTTACACAGGGGTATAGCGGCACAACATGAAAGCTGGCTTCAAAACAATTATCAGAATTTTCTTAGCCTATTCTGAAAAATTGTAGGAGTTTTTTCAGGCCCATAGCTAGTTCACAGATTTCCTGTTTGCTCTGCAGTATCACCTGACATTACGTGATGTGAAGGAAAACAAGACACCATTAGTCAGTAATCAGATAAAGAATGTAAGTTTACTTGGAATCACTTTACCAGCCAAAGCAGTTGATTTCGCTGACTGAGAACAAGCTCAAGACATTTGAAACGACAAATTTAACAGAAAAGAGGCCTGCAAACGTAATGGTGCTTAGGCCAGTTTTACTATGGGATGGTACCACTGCATGTCCTTCTGTGCTTCAAGGCACTGCTCTGCAGCTTCATAGAAGTTTAAAGGCATCACTGCTAAGCATTTTTACAATATGTAAACTTAAAAAGTTTTCAATATACTTACCCTGATATATCTGAATAAATGGCTGTATCTACAAAATAGGTTGGCAGCAGGTGAAAAACCAAGAGCAAAATGGCTTTGCATCCCTCTCCTTGCACAAGCCACAAGTCTAGGACTGCAGGGATGGCTGCCCAGTACGTCCCCAGAAATGGAACTGCTCCAAGGATTGCTGCTAATGCTAAAGCACACAGAAGGAGGAGTGAGAAAAAGACCAGAGAAACATACTTCACAAAAATTCTGACTTTTGCCACATCAGCAGTCTCACTTCTATCAGCTGCTGTAAATCAGATACTGAAAAGACAGCACATAAGACTTTTGTTGTTTTATAACTGTGATTAAGGAAAAAGAGAACTACATTCAGGAAAATGGAACTATTCCCCATACAGAAAAGCCTTACCAGCTGTCAGTCACAGTTACTTCCAATTAAGAAAAAACTAAAGTTACAACAATCATTCGCATTTCAAGCTCTTATGTAACCACAGACCTAGCAAATGTACACAAGAAAGTACACAAGCAGAAGTTCTCAGTGTAGCACTGTAACTTACCAGACCTCATGCAGACAACCATTACAATGTAGGTTGTACTGTGAGAAACCAAGCAAGCGTAAAACCCCTGACTTCAAGTATTTATATCTGCACATATTTGTGCATGCATACAAGTCTCTAGCAGGCATACTGCCTTCTGCTTATACAAATGCTCCTTGTAATCTCAAATAACGTAGTGCTGCTGTCATTCTAATTTAATCCAATATGAATGACCACAGTAGAGAAAAAAGTTTAATTTTTTCTTTCGTTTTAGCCTCATGAGCCCAGAATACAAAACAAGATTTTGCAAGATGTCAAAACAAAAGTAATGATTATTATGTCTAACAACAACCAATATCTTTAGGGTAGCTGGAATTTGTGATACAGCTATTGGCTGTATTTGTTGTTTTGTTTTCTGTTTGTAGGTCCCCGTTTTGTTGCTCTGTACATGAAGGTGCAAGTGGCTTGTTGTTTGTTTTTTTGTTTGTTTGTTTTAGGGGAATAGAGGGAAAAGAGGAACAGAGAGATTTTTCAGTGAAAACTGTGCAGCCGTTTCCATAGCTGAAATTTGAAGAGTAACAGAGTACCAGAGGCTGGTAATGCTGTCAGGAAACAGCACTGAGAATAGAAAGCATGCCTCTATTTCCATGATACCACAACTTCTGCATTTAGACATCCCAAAAACATAGTACCTATAAATTACGAAAAAATCTGGACTAAACAGAAAGGAAAAAAATTACAACCAGCAAAAGAAACAGAAGTAAAATATTTTTCTGGGGATATGCTATGAAGACAGAAAAAAGTATGGCTAAGAGATAAGACAACAATCAGAGACTGATTAATTTGATCTATGGTAGCTTAAATTAAACTTGGAGGAATCAGTTAATGATCAGAAGCTCTACAGAATCCCTACATATCACACAAAAGTATTAAACTTTTCACAGTACCTTCTACGTCTGTTTGAATAATAAACAGGAAATAAAAATGAAGTTACGTACTGAATGGGTATAATAAAGATAAAAATTTGGAACAGCTACTCACTAAGTTCACATCATATACTGAGTTCATTAACTCAGCTGTCATGATTAAAAAAAGCAAAAAATAAAAACCAACCCAATTCTGAAGTCAGAAACTATACTGAGACATTTGCACAAATCAATAACATTAAGGTTGCATACACAACTCCAATTCTGATAGTTGCCAGTTTCTGATATAATGTTCACTAAAAATAACTTCAGGACTAATCCTGTCAGCAACGTTTAATCCTACTGCTCTTGTACAATAAAATTATATAATGCTATGTATAAATAGATTACAATTGTTCAAATTCTTACCAGATGGTATGAAGACTATGTTAATCCCAAATATAGTGTGAGTCAGCCAAGTGTAGAGTCCATAGAACCCAGCCATTTTGAGGGAAGCATCAAACACACCTCTAAAACAATCACAGAAACTCTGTTAACCGTTATTGGCAGTACCATTCTGGGAACAATGAAGGTATCTTTACATACATCTTTAACTATAAGGCGCTTTGATAAACTGCAAAGCCATTAGTGCCATAAATCACACAGCTCAAAATGTATACCTTAGGTTTGTCCTATGAAAAGGACAAACATTCATCATATTTATCACTCATGTCATCTATAGGAGAAAATAAACAAACAAAAAAAACACACCAGACAGACAGTTTTTTACTATACATATATTCCTGGGATAAATTCCTTGAAAAAAGTTGCTCAGGAATCAGAGCACATTCTCTAGAAAAAGTAATCTTTTATCTAAGAGAAACAGTACAGTTCTATTTATGAGCTACTTTTTCTTTGTCCTTTTCCATTTCTATCTCTCAATTCATTTTCTTTATCTTCTTATATTTCTATACCTGCTCACTCTCGTTGGAATAAAACAAAGGGCCCAGAAGTGATACAGGCTGCCTAAGCTCTCACTTTCCTACTCATTTACACAGTTTTCCACATGAAAATAACTGAGCACTTTGCATTTATTACTGGTCTTGAGCCTCAGTATCTTGATATTCCTAGATTTTAGGCCACTTATTATGTCACACTACTGAAAAGAAAATAAAAAGCCTTGTGATGTAATTAACTCCTGGTGAACTTACGTCCAACTGGCCACAAAATGAAGTATTCCTCTGTTAAGTGTCAACATAGTTTCATGAGACAGCAAGGAGGCAGCTCAGTGCTGTGTCATTTTTACAGCACTGGCACATTCACAGAAGTGAAATATCCTGTAACTGAAAACTCAAATATCTCACCATTGTATTATGCTCATTTGTCACTCCTATTGAGAAAGACATTGCCTTTCTTGAAAAGACTATTCCAGCTTGGATCAAAGTAACTGAAGTCTCTCTGTTATCTCTAAGTTCCTTTCCTCAAAGAAGTCATAAAAGTTACACGGAATCACAGAATGGCTTGGGTTGGAAGGGACCTCTAGGATCATGAATCTCCAACTCCCCTGCCGCATGCAGGGCTACCAATCTCCATATCAAATGCTGGACCAGGCTGCCCAGGGCTGCATCCAACCTGGCCTTGAACACCTCAAGGGACGGGGCATCCAATGGGATATTACTGCACTAGTGGTGTCACACACATCCTTCCTAGCAGTCATAAATGTAGTTGGCTGATGCTAAGTTCCCATTTTACATTTAATACAACAGAAGTGATGAAGTCAGATCATAAGCTGGAAGACCGTCATTGCACTTTGAGCAATGGTGGAACAACCACCTCTAAGAACACAGTTTCAATCCTTTGCTGAATTGATAAAACCTTCCCTGCTATCCAAACACCAAGTAGAATCTTCTCTTTTAGCCATCAGCAAGAATTCCAAGACTCCCAGCTTTGGCATCTTTAGGCTTTATTCTCATTATTAGCCCCAGGAACAGTGCATAAATTTTTGTAACTCTTTCCCACCTAAAAGCACACATGGATTCCCAAATGAATGCTGAACCAAATTACCTTGTTTAAAATTCATCCACTGGAATTTAGGAGTGCATAATAAGCCCTACAAATCCACATGGTCTTAAAATGTGAGATTTTCTTGATAGACTAACAAGAAACAGCTGCTGTCAGCCATTTTCCCAGCAAAAAAAAATGGTAGGAAAAGAAATAGAAAGCCTTAAGCAGTGACTTGAAATAACAGACCCAGTATATAAAGATGATAGAGAAGAAGTGCTTAAGTATTTGTGAGGCCTCAACAAAGCAGCCAGAATACCTCACATTTTGAAAAAGCTTCAATAACATTACAATGGGAAGTTACAGACCTATATGTACATATAATCTGCACGTTTTGACTAGTGAAATACTTCTTCACGTTTTAGTGTGAAGCAAGCTTCTGGTATAGTAAGAACTATCAAGGAGAGAAGGACCCCAAAACCCAAAACCACAGAAAGAATGCTCGATGTGAATATGCACTAAAAACTCACACTGCTAAAAACTGCTCAAAAGTGTGATTTTTCTGTGTTTTCTGTGACATTTATCCTCCTTCAGAGGCTATCAAAGAATGGCTGGATTTTAAGAGCTCAGAAGATGAACAGTTTCAGCGGAGCTTTTGGCAATGGAAGATGGAAGGTAGCTGGTAGGATGAAGTGCGAGCTAAGCTGCACTGATCACGAGACTGCAGCAAAAACACTTATCCTGGCTGCAGTAAGGATATATTTGTTCCTTATGCTTTTGTCAAGCCAACCTCCACAGCCCTGTTGGTCTCTTAAATCTTAGGTCTGTCCCACAGAAACACCTGCCTGCTACAAAGAAGGTTGGTTATGTCACGATCACTGCAGCCCCCCATTGGCGATGCAAAAGTGTATTTTTTTAATACAGTTTTCCACATTCTTCCAAAAGCAAACCAAGCAACTAAAAAGAAAAACAAAACAAAACAATAAAGCCAGAAAAATTTGGATTGTCAGAAGAAAATACTAGATCCAAATATTTAATAGCACTAATGAGAACTCAGATATCAGCACACTATAATTAAATCCTCAAGTAAATCCTTTTCCTTTCAAACAGGAGCTGTGGCACAAATACATTTCAGTTATTAAATATGCTTTAAGGATGCCCTTGAAGTATCTCCTTATTTGGCCTGTAAAAACATTTCCTGTAAGGTAGAAAAAGAAACAAGGTCTTAACTTAATGAGCATGCCTCTAAAATATATTTCACCATACAGAAGGCAATGCAAAGGCCTGACAGATATCTGAAATAACTTGAAATAAGCAGTCACTTTAGGTTTTCCTCCAGAGACCTCAGAAGAAGAGTAGGCAGTCTCTTATTATTCTAATTACAAATAAATATATAAACAGGAAAATGATCCTAATGGCCAAAAATAATGGCTGTGAATTTAACTATGTCAAGGAACAGCTGCAGAACTCTTCAAAACCAATCCAAGACTAAAACTAATTCTGCCATTCCATCCAGGCAGTTTTCTGAACTTTTCAGTTCAGACAAGCCTCATTTTTATCTTCAGATGAATTTTATTCAAGTCTAAATTCAAGTTCAGACGTGTCTTCTGCTGATGTAATCATGCAGTTTGTAGGAAAATTTTACACTGTAAATCCATAACTCATAGATGCAACAGCAAAATAACTGAAAAGTTAATTCCAGACAACAGCTATGGCTGAATCTGATGTCATTCTGCAACTTGATGAAATGCATTAGTCACTGAAGTTTGTAGACCATTCTGCAAAGTTGGGAGGAGCTGTGGTAATTTATGGACACAGATCACAAATCAAAGTGGACCTGAAAAGGTCACTTTAAAAAAAATGCAGTTCAAAACAATGAAAAAAAATAGCATATTTCAGCAAGCAGCAAAAATAAAAAATAAAAAGTGTGCAATAAATCACCAGTAGCTCTATGCAAAGAGCTAATGATTGCAATAGATTACAAGCAAGTCAATATTACATTAATGCAAAAATAGGAAACACTGTATGACCTGCACATACACTAGCATTGTCTATGAGATACATCTCCAGTACCAACTTTACTTAGCAACACCCAGGAATCAGCTGTGAGACTGTTGCCCAGACTGATTTACTAATACTTCAAGAAAAATGCATGGATGCAATCTACAGTGAAAAGCAGAAAGAATGTTGGGCAGTCCAGAACAAGTGATCTCTGAGCAAAGATACCACCAGAGAGGAAAGTCTGAGGAAAGGACAAAAGATACCAAAGACAGCTGCAACGATGAAGTAAATGCTGCTTCTTCCCCACCATGGGTTGGACAAGAAGGAAGACATCTGAACTAGAAAAAGAAACATTTCAGTTGGATGTTGGTTTAAACTTCTTCCCATGTAAGTCACAGCTGTCCACCTCTGAGCTTATAAGACCAAGTTAGAGTAAGGTGCCAGCTGCTGTGACTTGAGGCACAAATCCATGTGTCCCATGTAATATGTCACAGCAGGTCTGCAATGCATGCTTACGGCTGGCAAGAAGCACATATCTCTAAATGGCCGTATAATAATATGGCATCTCTCCAGCTCCTTGCATCTACCATCAAACTAATAAGCTAAAAGGAGAAGGCATCACACAGCGCAGAAGACCTGTGAGGTGCCAGTGGTGAAGTGCAAAGTGAGAGGAGACTGCATTTGATTTTGTTCTCTTCTTCTATTTCTTTATGCCTACATCCTCCCTCAATTACAGAAAAACAGAGTGGATCCAACCCTGTGGCTCAGGGGAACTCCGAAGTCTCTTCAAGACTCACGCTTTTTTACTTCTATCAGGAACACTAAGAATTGCATTTTGAAGATTCTAGAAATTCACATTAATTTGACCTCAAGGTTATGGCAGCTTAAAACACTGAACAGAACGTTTACAAACAGTGTATTTTCACTATTTTGCATCTGGGATACCTGTGGCATGCGAGTGCGAAATGCTGAATGAATTTATTACCATCTGTACAAAGAATAACTTCCTGACGAAACCACGACCATAAATAAATTTTGGTTCTTAGCACCTTTGAGCATACACACAGATGCCTTTCATACATAAAAAAAAAATTCTACGTTTCAGAACTCAAAAAATCCAATTACAGTTCACATCTTACACAGCTACTGTATTTGGATGAGCTGCTCCAGCTACAAGAGTTGTCATCTGCCAACACCTAATTGAGAAGCACTTCAGGCAACTTAGCGTAAGGCACACGTAGACATATGTATTTTTATAGAGTTTTGAGAAGTAGGTAAAACAGGGGAAAAAAAAGAGGAACGTACTTCATGTTACTGAGATTATAAATGAATTAACTTCTGTCAAGCTGTCAAACGTTTCTGCATAATTGGCCTAAACTTTTCAGTTGCTTCTATTTCGCCGAAAAACTAAGGAATTGTTTTTAAACTTCACAAGGAAAAGCGAGACCTTTCCATTTTATGGGTTTAGAGGGGGACAGGTGTAGAAGTTTTCAGAGAATTCTGGTTGTTCACTTTATTGATTTATTGT